GAAAGAGGGTGCTTCTGGCCATTTCCTCCCTTGTGAGTGCGTGTTGCTTTGCTGTGTTCTGCCACCATGAGCTGTAGCCCTCTGCCATGTGCCAGTCTGCCTTGTAACCTGCCAAGTATGGACTATAACCTCCACAAACTGTAAGCAAAATAAACCTTTCCTTCCTTAATTTTGGGCATCAGGTATTTTGTCTCAGCAATGAGAGAAAAATAACCAAGACACCTGGTCTCAACTTAAAAATAAACTGGGATGGGGGTATGCCTGAGTCATAAAGTACTTGTCTAGTATGGACAAGGTCCTGGGTTTAATCTCCAGTTGGGAACAGATTGGTTGCTTGAGTTTCATCACTCTGGTTTCATAGAAATGCGTGGTGAATGCTGGTTAGGTTCCATATATGCATGGCCCAAATAATACAAGATACTAGTTTAAACTCTTCTCAGAACCAGCTATCATGTCATGAAGGAAGAAGAGCTTCCTTCTTCCTTGAGAGGCTAGCTCAAGGCAAAATTTTTAATTAGGTCAGGTTGATTTTTGACATCTCTTCTTTCCCTTAACCTCCCACTTTTCCTTGTCCAGAATTTCTACGAGCTATTGTTCCTAACTGCCCTGGGCCCTACAATGCGTGGCACTGTATTCATCCCACCCAGAGCACTGCAGATTCCAAAATGACTGAAGCTCACCTTTCTCCATCAATATTGTCATCCACTCAAGCAGGCTGTCTACAGGTTAGGAAGAAACCAACCTGACTGACTTGATACTGATCAACTGAAAGTCCAAAATTCTGCTAGAGATTTTTGAGATTTTAAGAGATTTTTTCCCACACACTATCATTAGTGACATAATTTAATTTAATTTAATTTTTTTTTGTCTTTTTGAGACAGGGTCACACTATGCAGTTCAGGCTGGCCTTGAGCTCATTTTATAGTCCAGGCTGGTCTCGAACTCACAATGATCCTCCTACCTCAGCCTCCCGAGTACTAGGATATAATTTTAGAAAACACAATAAAGTGAGTGAAATGCTCAAGTCATATGAGGTTATATAATTTAATATACCTGGGCTATATCCTGAGAAACTACTTCTTTCCTATTCTCCAGTCTAGTTTTTTTCAAGTTCCTCTATTATACCGCTTGTGAACCTCCAGTTTCTCTACAAGTATCAAGTTTTATTTTTCCTGCAGTATATCAGCAGCACATATGGTTGCTCTTATGAAAAGGGGAACCACCTGTACAAATCTATTGATCTGAAACTAATTGACCAGAACAATTCATGGAAGTAGGAAAAGAGGGTAGAGGCAGAGAAATTAAAGGCTAAAGTCGAAAACCACTGTCCCCAATCCAGCCTCAGTGGTACATGTCTGTAATCCCAGCATTCAGGAGCCTGAGGCAGGCTGATCATGAATTTGAAGCCAACCTGAACTATAACCTGTCTTAAGAAAAATAAAAAATAAAAAAGGAACCCCTGGCCAGTAGCTATGGGGGAACAAGAATGTTCACACAGTGCAGGTAGGAATGCAAAGTGGAACTTTCTGTGTAGAGGGTAATATAGCAAGACCTATCAAGCCTTTTTTTGTAGCAGTCCTGCTTCTTGGACTTTATCTTCCTGATAAAAATTGAAGATACACTAGAAGAATATATAAATTCAGTGCCTGCAGCATTTTTTATTTGCAAAAGCTGGAAAGAATAAGAATATGCATTAGTAGAGGGCTAGTAGAATAAATTATAGTACATTCATACAGCTGTCAAAAAGAATGAAACAGGGCTGGGGGTGTATGTGGCTCAGTGGTAGAGCATGTACTTGACATGTGCAAGACCCTGGGTTCAATCCCTAACACCGCATGCATGCACGCAGACAAATTCGTGCATATAAATGTGGAACAAACCTATAAGATACATTATTAAATGAAAAAAAAGTGCATATCATTGGGCATGGTGACACAGGCCTGTAATCCCAGCACTCATCCTGAGCTACATAGTGAGACCCTGTCTCAAAAAAAATTTTTTAAATACTCCCCCCAAAATCAGTGTTTATGTGCCACCCTTCCTACTTTTAAAATATCTGCATCCTAAACCTGAATAAATGGAAATGTATGTTATATCCTTAAGTGAGAAAAATATTAAAAAACAAAATAAGTGCATCCATATATTTTACAGTATTTCTGGGAGGAATTATAGTAAGTTGGTAACAGTGGCTCCTTCAAAGATAAAGAAATAGAAGATAAACAGGAAAAGGAGGGAGACTTACTTTTCAATGTAAATCTTTTTGAATATTTCTCTGTATGAATTTAAGATTTTTTTCTGGTGCTGCAAATTGAACCTAGGACCTTTCACATACTAGGCCAGCACTCTTTCACTGAATTACATTCTCAGCCCTACTGTGTGCATTTATTTATTTATTTATTTTTGAGACAGGGTCTCGCTATGCAGATCAGGCTGGCCTCGAGCTCACTTTGTAGCCCAGGCTGGTCTTGAACTCACAATGATCCTCCTGCCTCAGCCTCCCGAGTGCTGGGATTACAGGCATGCGCCACCACACCTGGCTACTGTGTACATTTAAAAGAAGTAAAATTCAGAAAAAATATTGTCAAAAGGAAACTCATTAAGAATGCAGATTGTATGAAAATCACAAGATACCACAGCTAGAAGTGACCTTAGAAGTTAAAATACTGATTCTCAGGACATAGATTTGCCCAAAGATATTAACCCACCACCTTGTGGCTTTAACACCAGCCAACATCAAGGTTGTCAACTAAAACTTTGTGTCTACCTCCATCTCCTTTTCCAGTCAGTCTCACCTTTGCCGCTGAGAAGCGATCCAGTCCGAAACTTGGATGTGGGGATTAGGTGACAGCTTGGAGAGGCAAAGTTGTATCCGCGTGGTGCAGCAGAGATGGTCAGGTTCTTCAGAATATGTTTGGCCTCGGGCCTTCTGTTTGAGTACAGGAGCTTAACTTGCACTTTGTTCCCAGAGCCAAGGCACTGCAGGGTAGCCATAGTTTGATTTTGGGTGAATGTGCCCCTTTTGGCTTCTGTGTGAGTTTCTGGAAGGAGAGCCGGACAGAAGAATGCGTCTTGTTCCTAACCTGAACAGTGCCCAGCTAACCTACTTGCACTCATACTCCCTATTAAATGCCATGTCTTCTGGGCACATTGGGACATGCCTGTAATCCCAGCTACTTGGGAGGCTGAGGTAGGAAGATCACAAACCTGAATCTAGCCTGTGAGTGGATCATTGCAGGAGGATCATTGCAAGTGAGCAAGACCCTATCTCAGAATAAAACAGAAAGGGCAGGAAATGTAGCATAGCACCTCCTAGGTTCAACTCCAGTACCAAAACCCCTCCCCAAACAACAAAAATTTCTGTCACTATAC